GTTTGTTTGTTTGTTGTTGTTGTTTTTCTGTGTGTGTTGTTGTTTGTTTGTTTTGTTGTTTTGTTGGGGGGGGGGGTTGGGGGTGGGTTGGTAAAACCGTCCAGATTCCATACGTTTCTTCTAGATGTTGTGTAATATACATGTATCTGAGGACGTTCTATCAGTTAGGGAATACTTTTGGTTGAGAAAGAGGGAGGTGGAGGCAGGGAGGGGTAGGGAGAGAGGGTGAGAGAGAATGAAAGAGAGAGAGGGACAGAGAGACAGAGAGAGATAGAAAGAGAGTGAGAAAGGTTGGAGGAGTGAGACACAACAGGCTTATCTACTGGAGTTACGGACTTGCTCTGTGATTATCATCGGTATTTTCTTTACTTTCAGTGGCTCAGTGAGTGCTGAATAAAGCAGTCCGTTGACAACACATAATATATATTTTAAAAACAAAACATTTTGAAAACACCATATGCCAGAAAAAATCAACATTTTTCATGTACATAGTTGGAGCATGAACATCACCAAGCACAAATGTCATCATTTAGGACATCAAGCCAGAGACTGTTTAACTTGCAATATCCTGAAGTCAAATTCTAAACTAAAAAATTGTTCCTTTATTGTTTGGTTCACGTTTATGTTTATCTCTTGTTTTGATAGAGCTTTGCTTTGTCTTCACTGCAACTGTTCTGAATGGTAGAGTTGCCATTGAGGGGAGGCTTTTGTTCTTTCTACTGTTGTTGTTGGGTTTTTTATTATTGTAGTTGCTGTTGTTGTTGTTGTTGTTGTTGTTGTTGTTGTTGTTGTTGTTGTTGTTGTTGTTGTTGTTATTGTTATTGTTGTTATCGTTGTTATTTGTATTGTTATTATTTTTGCTTTTGCTGCTGTTGCTGCTGTTGTGGTTGCTTTTTATGTTGTTGTCCAATATTGCTTTTCTAGTTGTCTTCATTGATAGAAGTGTTTTCGTTTTGGGTTGGGGGTTTTGGGGTTTTTTTTGTTTGTTTGTTTTTTGGAAAGTAATTTCCACTACTCTTCTTTGCTTCATATTCCTTTATGCCTTGCAAGTCTGGCAGTATTGCTTCTTCTATATTTCATTATCGTTATTATTATTATTTATTCATTTTGTTTATTTATTTTACAAAAATAGTATCAACACTGTGTAGTATCATTTGGTTATCGAGGAAAAGGAGCACTGTTGATAGACATAAATAAACAGTCGAATCTGTTCTTGCAGCCACCTGTATAAAGAAAGTCAGCTGTACAAACAGTCACTTTCCATTTCCTCCCATGCGCATTTTTTTCCTTTATAATGACACTGTGCAAAGCGGCCATAAGTCTAAGAGGGCCACTTTTCTAATCGACAATGGCCGACCGTCTATGACAGTTTCGACAGTGTAACATTTCCTGGTATTGTTTTTTTCGTACTACAAAGACTAGCAACTGCATACTTCTCTGAACGGATGGCAGCTACCACAAATATCTCTGAGTGAAGACTGGTTGAGAAAAGTCAATATCTTTTCGTGTGATGTCGTTGCGCTCTGGGTTTTGTGTGTGGATTCCACGCCATTTACTAGTTCCGTCGCAATGAAATGTATGAGTAACTATGTACCTATTGCTGCCATTAGCTAGTGAAGATGGAGATGGACAAAATGTAAAGTTATATTAAAGATGAAGTCGCCATTCGCGATGTTGATTTAAGTCTGCGAGAAGAAAAAGATACCGGTAATGATAATAAAGAGGAACAGGAGGAGGAAGAGAATGAAGGGGAGTCAGGGAATGAGGAGGAAATCAGAGTACATCTTCATGATCATCTGCTCTGTGATGTGACTAGTTTATAAAAGGAAGACCTCACGCTACAACTACTAGTTGTGACTCAGATCAGACAAACCTTATTTGATATACATGATTTACAATAAACACTACACCACTCCAAACAGCCAACATAAAAATGCACTGGGAAAGCATTGTAGCTTTAACTGTAGAAGTAGAGTAAATTACCCCAGAGTACATTGTTTGTCTTAAGAGCTCATTTCCAAACATGTCATGAAATTGCTTCAGACAATAACGACGCTGAGTGACTGAAAATAGGGAAATTTTCAACTGATGTTCCCTGTCCTAAAAATGCACGCAAAAATGAAATTGAACAGAAATAGTCTCTCAAAAACGGAGACTCAAACACACTCTACGTACAGTCCACAGAAGAGTACATCTAATGAAGCATGACACACATTGATACGTCTACTCAGATATTATGTACACAAAATATGGTATGGTCCTTCTAGCTTATTGAGGTATGTGTATTTACAATTCACGTTTGTCATACTTCACATCGATACTGATACGATCTTTATTATTTAATTATGATTATTCAAAACAAATTACACCAGATATGTAATAAATGATTTGGAGCAACAGACTAGTAAGTACAAGAACATCAAAGTCAATCTTTCTCATTCACTTGGCAATCACTCTTATCGTCTTTTTACCCAACTTGAACTCTATTACAACAGTACTAGACGCTTAAATAATGCATGCACGTGAACAATTCTAACAAATCAAATCATGTTATGCAAAGAGATCGATATCTATTCTACCAGACGGATTTCGTCGCACGGTCTATGTCATTCCATTTGAACACTTTTGTTGACTAGAATTTTTTTTTAAATCGCTGTCCACCAAAGGAAAGCGACAAATGATGGGTAGGAAGAGGGGGGTATAGTAGCTTGAAATAGATAAATGAGGTCGAAGAGATGCAGCAAATACAAAATATGACTCCAGCAATTAGCCACTAACATCTATCCACGAGACGAGCATTTAATACAATATGAATATACGAAAATACATAGAGACATCAACACACATCCCTATCACACCATCTATTAATTCAAGACGATTTTAACAAATGCAGTAAAGAAGTGGACAGTTTTAACATAGAGAGTACTAACAATAATAATAATAAAAATAAT